ACTTTTTTTGATATTTTCAACATATAATCCAAAAATCGTATTTTGGGGTAGTTTTTAATTTTTTTCACCCCTTTCCCGGTGGTTGAGAACTTTTTTACTTTDYCYACAGTATTGTACGCATTTTTCTGATAATTTCCATATTTTTTCAGCCGTATAGCTCAAAAACTTGATTTCAGGGCTATTTTGACTGGACTAACTTCAAAAAACTAACAGAGGAACTAGGTATCCTCAGTAATAAAATATTTTACTTGAGTATCGCTCTTTTTCATTTGAAGGAGAGCATAAAAATCCTAATGTATAAAAAATAGACAAAGACAGACACGAAGAACTATGATAGAATCAGCATTGTAAGTGCAGTACAGAAACTGATGATAAAAATCTTGTTGGAAAGGGGCCTTGGGGGAAATAATAAAAACAAACGTGTGTACTTGTTATGTTTGCCTTATTTAGCGATTCAAAGAACTGTATTGAAGAATACAAAATATGTATATGGTTAAACGATACTTACCGTTTAGCGCGACGTAACATTAACTGCGTGGAAGATATATATATATTTAATGCTGCGGCCGCAACAAGAAGAAGGACGCGCCTTCGTATTCATGCCGCAGAACGATTGGCACCTCGATGAGCCGGTCGCGAGCTCACGCGAAACGCGCGGTCGTTCAGAATCGCTTCTGTCTCGTTGTCTGATTTTCGTCGCGATCCTACAAATCCTTAAAAATGAAAAAGAACAAACAGAAATATGCGAATAACAACAAGGATTTCTAAGAAACATACCATCGTTGGAAACAATATTCATACTAAGAGAAATAGCTAGAAAAAGGTAACAATCTTAGCCCGATCTTTTTCCACTAAATAATAGAAGTAATTCAAGAGGTTAAAACTGCTGGAGAAGGAATTAGGCAAGCAAATAAAATTAGAAATTATATGCTACGCTGAGGACGGAGTCATCATATCGGTAAATGAAAACGGTCAGCAAATTTTGCTATTTAAATTTGAAAGGAAAGCAGCAGCGTATAACATGACAATTTCTGTACATCCAATTACTCATTATCTCCAAGAAGCACAGATGATGTAAGTTAGCAGTATATAACAAAAGTATCATAAAATTGATGCGGCTTAAAAACCTGAGAGTGACTATCAAAAGTAATAGAAACCAAGAAGAGGATGTAAGCGACCAAACAATTGAAGCCTTTATAATCTTTAGATACCTTAGAGATATAATCTGAAGAAGCAAATATATAAGCAATAAAAGAAAGATATAAATCTTTAAAACTTGTTTCAGGCCGATAATGACTTATGCTGCAGAAATATGTATATAGTCTACGACAACGAAACGAATTCTGAGAAAAACAGAAATTAAGATGCTAAGAGCTAAAATTGAATCCTTACTAAGAGATAAAAGAAGAAGAAAGAAAATAAGAGAGAAATATGATACCTAAGATGTTTTAAGACTGATCAGAAGGAGAAAAAGAACATAGCGTGACCTTGTAGATATAATAAATGACAAACGACTCCTGAGAGGGGTAAAAACATGAAAATTGGAATAAAAAGACAAACAAAAAGACCACCAAATCGGTGGCATGAAAGCTGGCTTTCGTCAGGAACAGCAAACTTTCCTAGAAAAGAAAGATAAACTATATACAACAGGACGAAGTCCTTTTAAAAAGAAGATAAAGATAAAAAAGAAGACATTTATAGACACATATTTAAACACTATAGGTCCATATTATCACTTCAAAACTTTTACAACATAGAGAATAAAGAGCAATCAGTCCTTAAATTTCACTTTTATTTTTGTAATAATATATTTATTTATTTAATTCTCTTCAAAGATTTTTTTTCAGATTATCTGAATTTTTAGAGGAAAATTTTAATCTCATGATTTTGTTACAATTAATTGGAGGTATCGTACAACTTTGCATTGTTGGCTATGACGCTCTTGTTGTAAGTTTCAATTGGGAAAACAAATTTCATAAATAAATAAAAAGCAACGTTATAATAATGAAAAATAAATTTTTAAAAAATTTACTAAAAGTTTATTAATAAGAGATGTTATATTCTTTTTTGTCTATTTTTTCAGAGATCAACTGATGGAGACATAACAATGATATTGCCATGTTTTATGATTTCTTCTGCTATTTCTTGCGAACTTTTAATTTATTGTTACATGGGAGAATGTCTCATCAAAGAAGTAAATTTTCCTGTTTTTTTTTTTCAATAAAATTTCAGTATAGAACGTATGCTTATGAGTAACATACTAAATTATTTTCAGAGTACTGTATTTGGCGAGGCACTTTATCTTTGTGAATGGTATAACATTTCTAAAAAAGAGAAACAATTAATGCATATTTGCATGATACGATCAACTAAACAAATGAGTTTAACATCAGGAAAATTTTTAATTGTTTCGCTAACAACTTATACCGATGTAAGTATGAATTTAAATAATTACCTAAATATGTAAGTTGAGAGTGTTTACGCTATTACTAGCAAGAATTGTTCTTATGAATAATAAATATTAGGTTTACAGATTGGTCTGAGCCGTTTTCTTTATTAATTGCTGTAGTTCTAAATAGTTATTGAGATAAATAGATCATAGATGTCATACAATATGCTTGGGCTACTAAAAAAGATGTAACATGGAAACATTAGTTTTTTTTATGTTTTACATATCATTTTATATATTTATATATAATCTATATTTATAATTCCAATCTGTAAAAAGGACGACAAAATAAATTGTAGTAAGTACAGAGGTATCATACTCTTACCAACGTGCTATAAAATCTTGTTGAATATTATATTAGCGAGGATAGCATTATTTGTGGAAGAGATAATGGAAAATCAACAGTACAGTTTTAGGAGAAATAGATCAACTAACGACCAGATCTTTAATACTTGCAAGATCATAGAAAAAAGAAGCAAAATATAAAAATGTGACAGTAATTTACTTGCTGTTGAATGGAATTTGTCAGCTGCTCCTCATTTATTCCACAGTATTCTCTAATTCTTTTTCTCTGATGAATCTGGTAATCCTTTTTTTTTTTTAATATTTCAGACAATACAATTATTATATATTCTATGTACTTCATAACTATTTATTATAATATTTGCGAAATAAAGAATTTAATACTAACTTTTCAATAAAATAAAAACATTTTTAAATAGAAAAGATATGACATGTTGTAAAAAAAAAACTATAGGCATGAATGTTATCGCATCGATAATAAAGATAATAAATGTAGATCGAATTTTAACAGACCTTCCCTGTTTTTTATATTTCTTTTCTCATGATAAGGAACCGACTTTGGGGTGTAGGTAGCTGACAAAAACTAATATTTTCAAATTTGTCGACAGAAAAATACGCCGTCCTAATTCAAGTAAATATAATATATATTTTTTTGAAACTCAGGTAGATGAATTTTTTTCTCTTACACCTTTCACACTTTTTGTGAATGTGAGATATCTTTATCGTGGGTTAGCATACACAAGTATTTCTTTTTGTGTTGCAACTAATAACTGTAGATGCTGTTAAAGAAGGGAACAATTGTGGTAGTATTTTTTTCGTTTCATCGGGTTTTGAATTACAACGATTTTAAAATTTATTTCTATTTTCGTTGTTTTATTTTATAATAATAAAAATGTTTTTTTAAATTTATTAGCTGACCCGGCAAACGTTGTTTTGCCATGTAAATAATTTCTAGAGAATTTCTAGTGTAGAAAAAAAATAACTAACTTATTGGAAGTGTGTAAGAATGTGGTATATGAATGAAAAAGGCATGGAACGCTGTGAACGATGAGGCAATATAAAAATAACAAAACACCAAACATTAATTTTTTTAATTTATTATAATTTATTTTAAGTAATAATTATTTATATCATTAATTCATTACATAATATTAATCTCTTAATGCTACAGCGTGAACAATACTTTTTGTTAGCCCGTCTTTAGCTAATACAAACAAACTTGATGGTTTACCCACTCGAGAGCATGCAACGTATAATTGTCCGTGTGAAAAACATGGTGTGCTCAAATCTAAGCCACAAACAGACATTGTTTGGCCTTGGGATTTATTAATAGTCATTGCAAATGCCAATCTAATCGGAAATTGAATACGCTTAAATTGAATTGGCACATCTGTGGGTATAATAGGTATTCGTGGTATTAATATATTTTC